CCCTCATGGGAGCTGCTTGTCCCCAGCAATGCTGGTCCCTGCTGTGGCCGTAGCCCAGTGGCCACAGCTGTGGTCTGGTTACCACGTCCAACGTGCCGTGCAACCTCAGCATCTGGTTGCCCTCTAGGCCTGTTTCCACAGGTGTCAAGTGGGCTTGCTGCTCCTGTTGCACCTCGCTGCGCTGCTGGGGGTTCTGTGTGAGGTCCTGGAGGAGAAAGGGTTTTGCAGACTTTAAAGCACAGGGCACCAGCAGGCGTGTGTGTGCGTGTGCGTGTGCGTGTGTGTGTGCGTGTGTGTGTTCACCGCTGGGTGCAAGGGCAGCAGAGAGTAGAGCTGGCTTTCCCACCCAGCGCTTCACCTAGGCCGCCTCATCTCATCTGCACCTCTACCCCAAGGCAGGTCCCATCACTGCCCATCGCACAGGCGAAGAAACCAGGGTGCCCAGTACCCCATGTCCTTTAAGCGGCAGGAGCAAGATTCGAACCCAGGACTACCCAGCTGCAATGCCGGTGCTCTGAGCCAGCAGGAGAGGTGGCTGGGGAGGGAGGGTCCTGAAAGAAGATGTGCAAGGCTGGGGACAAGGGTGGCAACGAAGGAAGCCCCCCACTGCTCCAGCCGCTCTCCTCCCCTTCCCGTGGCCAAGCTGGGGCTTTAACAAGCCCTGGGAGTCCAGGGACTTTTTTTTTTAAGATTTATTTATTTACTTGAGAGGTAGAGTTACAGAGAGACGGAGAGACAGAAGGAAAGGTATTCCATCTGCTGGTTCACTCCCCAAATGGCCATAACAGCCAGAGCTGAGCCGATCCAAAACCAGGAGCCAGGTTTTCCGCATGGGTGCAGGGGCCCAAGCACTTGGGCCATCTTCTACTGCTTTCCAGGCCATAGCAGAGAGCTGGATCAGAAGAGGAGCAACCAGGACTTGAACTGGCGCCCATATGGGATGCTGCCAGCCCTGCAGGTGGTGGCTTTACCTGCTAAGCCACAGCGTCGGCCCCCAGGCTGGCTGCTTTACGCACGTTATCTCAGCTAACTGCCCCAGCTCTAGGAGGAAGTGTTGGTTTCCCTGAGGATTTCCAAACACACCCTGGGGGCAGTGGCACACTGGTCCCCAGCCCTGGCTGGCCGTCTAGGGTCTGCCTCCCCCACCGCAGGCAAGCCCCAGGACAGCAGGAATGCCACGATGTCCACTGCGGCGTCTCAGCACGTGGCACTGCTTCAGTTCTCAATAAACACCTGATGGGAGAAGAAAGGAAAACACGCGCGGTTCACCACGCGGAAACCGACACCCAGAGACAGTCTCATCGCCGAGCTCACTCAGCGGCTTGGCGGCCGAGCCAGGATTTGACTTCTGACCAGTCCCAAAGCCTATTTCTTGCCGTGGTGTAAATTCTACCCTGCGGAGCTCCATGGGTGCGGACTCGGGGCGGGGGCGGCTAGCTGGCGGCCAGGGTCCTGGAGAGTCCCTCACAAGAGGCCTGGCCTCCTCCCGCCTGCCACTGCCCGCCCTTGTCCCCCTCAGGCCGCTGGCCACTGAGGGCAGGGAGGAGCGCTCCCCATCCAGGTCCTCAGGGAGCCCCAGTGCAGACGCTGCCACACTCAGGCTCCACGGCCTCTGGACACGCACGGGCTCACCAGCAGCTCACGGTGGATGGGGAGGGCTCCGGATGGAGCGGGGGCGGGCAGCCCGAGCAGGGTGGGTCAGGGCCCTGGACCAGCAGAGCTGTGAGAGAGACAGTCCGAGGCCCTCTTCCTACCCATTTTTCAGGCTGCAAAAACTGAGGCCCACAGGGCACTGGGAAAAGACAACCACACATTCACTGAGTGTCCCCTGAGAAGCAGGACAGGGGCCAGGCCTTTCGTGTCGGTTCCAACAAGCATCTGTAGCCTCAGGCGGTGGTGGGCACCTGCAGAACGGCAGGCCGGGACCCCCAAGAGCCCACAGGAACCTGCGCCCAGCAGCTCCGTTACCCTCGCGCAGCCGTGGCTGTGCCCTGACAAGGCTATGAGCAAGAGGTGCTACCTCGGTCACCTGCTCACCCCGGGTGCCGCAGCAGGTGTATGTGCATGGCGACTTGCCCTGTCTCCGCCTGAGGCATCCCTGCTGCCAGGCCTGAGCCCGTGGGGAAGGCAGGAGCGCTGGGTGCACGCCCCGAGCCAGCCGGGGCAGGGCTGTGTGGGGACAGACCCCCCAGCTTCCTCATCGTAGCCAGGGGACGCCTCTGCAGCGCACTCTGTGCACACTCCTGGCCGGGCCCCGGCAGGATGAGCCGCGGTGCCCACCGCCCACCCCCTCCCGGTCTTGGCTCCCCAGCTCTCTCACCCACTTCCCTGAGTCACCTCCCCCAGATCCTTGCTCACAGTCGAGGGTGGGGGCAAGCCCAGCCTAAAACCTCGGCACGTTAAAATCCGGCGCTCTGCAGACATGCAGCCAATGTTCACCCGGGGCTCGCTTCCATTCTCCCAGGAGCGCCCATCTTTGAGAACACGGCCGGCCCGTGAGCATCACCCAGGAGCAGCTAGGGGCCAGTGGCCCGGGCGCTGTAAGAGGGCAGGAGTCTGCAGGCTGAGCCGCCTGGCAACTGCACACACAGCTCTAGCAGTTTGCAAAACTTGTCCCTGTGTTCCAGGCTCTGCACTCCCTCCCACTGCTCCAAACCAAGAGCTCCTTCACAGGGCTCTGTATTTACGTAGTAGGCTTCAGGCGCAAACCCTGTCTTTGTTGCACACTCCCCTCCTCCTTCCAGGTTCCCTCTGGTCAGCCAGGCTGGGGGTGAAGCTCCCTTGGGTACAATGTGGCCACCTGGCTGCGGCCCCGAGCACTGAGATCCAGGACCTGGTCAAGGCTGTCACCCTGCCCGGCTGCAAGCTGGCGTGCTCAGCACCAGGGCAAAGGGCAGGACGAGGTGGCGGTCTCCAGCACGGCCTGGGGGCCTGCATGTCGACAGCTTTGCCACCTCCCACTCAGTAAAGCCCATGCTCTTCTGTGTGGCACTGGTGCACGCCATCTATTTGGAGTGAACCCCGGGGCATGGGAGCTCTGGGATGCAAGGGGGCTCCTACTAGAGCCTGGTGCCAAACAGCCCCCAGCTCACCAGTCAGTGGCCACCTGTGACAGCTGCACCCACCTGGGCAAGGCCGGCAGCTTCCACGACTCACGGTCAGTTAAAAAGAAGAGCAAGACCTGCCTCCATTCTCCCTGATCTGGCCGGCTGGACCACACACACTTCCGCCTTCCTCTGCCTCTGGCTGGAATTATGTCAACCACGTGCAGCTCCCAGCTGGGCGTACAGATCAGAAGCTCCGAGGGGCAGCGATCTATGTCTTTGATTAATAAAAAATGGGAGATAAATTAATAATGACTTAATACATGCAATTTGGGATCAAAATCTTCCAAAGCATGGGAGAAATAATAAAAAGGAGAATTCTTGATAGTGAAAATTTTTGGAACAAACGCTGTCCTCAGAGTCAGCCACCAGCCAAGGGAGAGAAAGGAGGAGGGGACAGGATCTCATGCACATTGAGAGCCAGGTGCTGTGCTTGGGGGGTACGCACGCTAACCCTAGGCTTCATACAACCCTCAATAGAGTGCTACCATCCCCATTTTATAGATGAGCAAACTGAGGCTAAGTTACTTGTTGTGGGTCACAGAATCAACAAGAGACTTGAACTTAGGTCTGTTTCATTTAAAAAGAAAAACATGGGGGCTGGTGCTGTGGTATAGTGAATAAAGTTGCAGCTAGCAGCACCAGCATCCCACATGGGCGCCAGTTCGAGTCCCGGCTGCTCCACTTCTGATTCAGCTCCCTGCTAATAGCCTGGGAAAGCAGCAGAAGATGGCCCAGGTCCTTGGGACCCTGTACCATCGGAGACCCAGATGCAGCTCCTGGCTCCGGCCTGACTAAACCCTGGCCGTTGCTACTTGGGAGAGTGAACCAGTGGATGGAACATCTCCCTTTCTCTGTCTCTTCCTCTTTCTGTGTACCTCTTTCAAATAATTTTTAAAAAAATCTTTTTTGTTGTTAAAAAAAAATGAAAACACAACAGAAAGAAGAAAGAGCCCAACACTGGAGCCTGGCAACTCACTGTGGCTCCAGGGGAGACAGCTATGTGGAGGGACCAGCATGTCAGCCGTGAGCGCTGGGAGTGATTTGCACTATCCACTGCTGTGTCTTCTACACCCAGAACAGGGCCTGGATCCAGCAGGTGCTCACATACAGTCTTTTAAAAAAAGATTTATTTGTTTATTTATTTGAAAGGCAAGAGTTACAGAGAGAGAGAGAGAGAGAGAGAGAGAGAGAGCTTCCATCTGCTGGTTCACTCCCCACATGGCTGTAATGGCCAGAGCTGGGCTGGTCTGGAGCCAAGATCCAGAAGCTTCCTCTGGGTCTCCCACATGGGTGCAGAGGCCCAAGCACTTGGGCCATCTTCTACTGCTTTCCCAGACCATTAGCAGGTTGCTGGAGCAGAAGTGGGGCAGCCAGGACACAAACCAGCGTACACATGAGATGCCGGCGCTGCAGCAGGCAGTCTTACCGCTATGTCAAAGCGCCAGCCCCATCACACAGTCTTAAATTAATGACTGAGCAGCTTGCAGGCAAAAAGGGGCACTGTTGTGTGGTGGAAGAGAGGGAATAAATGCCTTTAAGTCCTGGTCTCTAAGAGGACTAAGTCACATTTAATACATATTTTAAAAAACCTTAATTATGGCAGGTGGTTGGTGAAGCAGTTAGGACACTGCTTGGGATGCTGGCATTCCATACCAGAGGGCCCGGGTTCAAGCCCCAGCTCCACTTTCTGATTCCAACTTCCTGCTAAAGGCGCTCTGGGAGGTAGCAGGTGATGGTTCGAGTGGGTAGGTCCCTGCCACCCACATGGGAGACCTTACTTAAATTTTGTGCTTCTGACTTCAGCCTGGCCCAGCCCTGGCTGTTGCAGGGGTTTGGGGGAGTGAACCAGTAGATGAAAAGCCTCTGTCTTCAAATAAAATAAAAATCAATACATAAAAGTAAAAAAACCTCTTTAATTATGCAATGACTTCAAACACGGAAAAAACAGGAAACAACATGGAAGACACATCAGAGAACCCACCACTCAGACTTTCTAGATGTTCGGATTGCTGCCATGTTCATTTCAAATATTTTTATAACAAAATACAAACACAGTTTGGCCAAACGGGCTTCACCACATCCCATTCCCTTCCACCTACCACCAGAGATTACCCCATCCTTTTTTGTTTGTTTGTTTTGCGTTAGAATTATGTAAAAGGCAGAGTGACAGGAAGAGGGAAGGGGAAGCAGAGGCAGATCTTCCCCGCTCTGGCTCACTCCCCCAAATGATTGCAACAGCCAGCGATGGGTTAGGCCAAAGCTGGGAGCCAGGAACTCCAGCTGGGTTGCCCATACGAGTGGCAGGCACCCAAGTATTTGGGCTATCATCTGCTGCCTTCCCAGGTGCATTGGCGGAGAGCTGGATCGGAAGCAAAGGATCCAGAACTCAATACGGGACGTGGGGTCACAGGTGGTGGCTTAAATGTCTGCCTCTGAGCAGAGCAGCGACAGGCTCATTTCTGCACGTTAGGACAACCAGCCTGGTTGGTGCGGAGGGGCCGCAGAGCGGGGGCTGGGAGACCAGTGAGGTGGACACTGAGGCCACGCGGCTGCAACGCAATGAGGAAAGCAGTCACCGCACCCTGTGGCGGCGGTCTTCCTGCAGCTTAGGACTTGTGCACAGGAACGGAGGCCTGTCCAGCTCAGGGAACTGTGGACACTTTGTAGACTTCCTGATGCCTGTGTCGCAAGTCTCCTTTTCCCCATAGCAGTATCACACAGAGGCCATCGCCCCCATGACATGTGACAGGGCCATCCGCAGGGGAGATGGCAGGGATGGGCCAATGGATGGGACCCTCACTCCCAATCTGCCTTCCCACATCTCAGCCCCCGTGAGGCACGGCACCCAGCCGCCAGCCTCGGGTCCAGACATCAGGAGCCCTTTTGGCACCATGGTACCAAGAGCATGGCTGGGTCCTTACCCAGGTCCCACGGCAAGAGTGACAGCAGCAGCCAGTGTGCACAGACCCTATGTGGCACAGGGGAGGCGGAGGGCGACACTAGTATGGGGGGCCTCTAAGGACCACTAGGGGGGCCTTGTCCGATATCGAAATGTCAAATAGCCCTAACGGGCAGAGAGAGCCACAAGAACTACCCCAGACCCTGTGGCCTCGAGCTTCGGAGACAGTAGGGTGGCCCTGGCCCTGCCAGAGGCTAGGCCGGAGCAGTCTCAGCACTCCAACCCTCCTTTATGTGCACAGGTGCCTTTTAGAATTAGGGCTGGACATTCCAGGAAACGCACGACAGGCAGAGCCATCGCTGTGATCACAGACACCACTGGGCAACAGAAACGCACGGGGCCACCGTGACCAAACGTTGTTACGTGGCATGCGCGACTGGCTGCCTGTAAGTACCCCGTACTGCTGGGCCAGGAGCTCCCCGAGAGGAAGCCCTGCACCTGCTGTGTTTGCTGTCCATTTCCTGGGGCCCGGGGCACAGCCGGGCTCATAACGGGCCTTCCCGTTGGATGTGCAAGTAGCATGAAGGGGAGAGTGTGGAGAAGCCGCGCAGGTTTCAGAGGCTCTGCGGAAAGGGTCTTGCCCAGGTCACAGGCCACGCAGATTCCTGCCGGGGCCCCCTGACTCTGTAAGGGCCTCTCGCACTCATGACACTGTACTGAGCTGCCGCAGCACCCCACAGCCCAGGCTGCACAAAACAGAACACTCCAACTGCACGCACTGCCGGGGTCGGGGGGGGGGGTGTGGGCTCTGGAACCCCGAGGAAGTCTTTGATAGTTTTCAATGAGCTTGGGAGCCTCCGGGGGAGACAGTGAGCAAAGTTTCTTCAGGCCAAGTCTTTGCGGAGCCCCCGGGGGCTCACACACGCGTGATTCCTGCAGAAGCCGCACACAGTAGCCCCACGAGATCCTGCCCGGGGAACAGTCTGCAGCCCCTGCCGCCATCCTCGGCCGTGGGTCATGGTTATTCACCAAGCACAGCACAGCACAGCAGAGATTTCTGTTGCAACTTTTTGGGTGGGGACGGGGAGGGGGGGAACCTTTTTCACAAATGGAAATGACTCCAAGTCCCAGGATACCACAGGGGATAAAGGCAGAACTGCTCTGGTATTAGGGGACCTGCACATCCCTTGCCTTGTGCCTTCGCTGCTGCCAGGCAAGGAACTGGTGCCGTGTGGGGCTTGAACACCACGGGCGCAGGCCCATGAGCACGGCACGGGAACGAGGAGACTTCCAGTGCTGGCGCTGCCGTCAGTCACTCCAGCACGGGCCAGGCACGCGGCCTCGCGGGTTTCAGTGTCTCCACTTACACACCCATGTGTTAGACTGGATGCTTTTCAGAGTCTGGAACCATCAGCTTTGAGATGATGAGGGCTGTGAGTCGATGATGTAAAACTGCTAACTCTAAGATTGCACAGTTTCATTTTCCGATTCCAGGCCTGCCTGTAACCGGCCTGAGCCGCCGCAGCACGCTGAAGCCCAGGCTGCGCAAAGCGGAATTCATTAACTGGGGCGTACTGCCCAGGGGCGCCGGTTCCCTGGGTGGGTGTGCCCTATGCAGGATGCGGGGGGCGGAGTGGGTGGACTGGAATATGCAGGCAGCCGCTCACTGGGCAGAGCCAGGAGAGGAACCCAGGTCTCCTGACTCCTGCTCTATCTTTAGATCTCCATAGCAACCGTCGCCAGGGCACCGAGCTGAAGGCACAGGCTGAGCCAGCTGCCTGCAGCAGGGAGGGGCATTTGCCTTCCATGCCTCTTCTCTTGCTGGGAGAGAGGACACTGTGCTGGGCTCCTGAGCCAGGGAAGGGAACCTGAGAGTGCCTGGGGCCCACTGTCCCCTGCGAACGCGGCCCTATCACAGCACCCAGAACCTTCTGCATGTCGGGCTCATGGCACTGGAGGTGTGCAAGGCAGAGCCCTCCTCACAGGGCTTGCGGCCTCTCCTGTGTTCGTTCCCAAATACGCAGGGGGCACCTCACCTGAGGGAGAGCTGAGGCCACTGTGGGAGCCCCTCTCAGAGGAGGGCCCAGGGGAGCGCCTCCCGCCCCTTCTCCTGCACAACCCCTCCCCCTCAGCGGGCTCGGCCTGCACCTGGCTTCCCCGCCTGGTCCTCTCTGACTCCTGGGCTGGCTGCAGGCCTCCTCGTCCCCCTACAGCCTCCCGTCCTCTCTCAACAGAGGACGCCAGGAGGGCCCAATCAGCCTCAGGGGGCGAGCAAAGTGCAGGTTCCCGGAGGTAAAGGCCCCGCCGACGGTCACCTGACACATGAGCAGGAGACCAGGCCTGCCCTGCATGCCTTCCGATGCTGCTCTGTGCCGCTCCCTGTGTGTGCCCAGGCTCTGGAAGGGAGGCCAGGCCTAAAAGAGGAAGTAGGAGTCCTGGGCCAGGCCGGCGCCCAGCAAACACCTGGCCATGTCCTTGGTGAACTCAGCGGAGCCGCAGACCAACGCAAAGGGCTTTCTCCGACAGTGGCTTAGCAGCTCTTCCACCAGCTCCTGGCCCAGGCGGCCAAAGCGGGTCTTCTCCTGGTAACTCCAGGGCAGCTGCTCCGCAGAGTTCTCCTGGGAAGACAAGAAAGAGCGATGTGATGATCGGGGTCCTCGGGGTTCACACAGCCAGCTTTATTCTGCCAAAGGGGGAAACTGAGGCAGAGGGGGCGGGAGGGCAACCTGATCAGGCCCTCCCAGGCACTTCTCAGCACCCGCACAACAAGCCTGGGTGGAGGCCATTTCCCAGTGCAGGCCGGGGTGGGCAAGGGGCACCCCCCCAGGGCACATGCCAAGGCCAGGGCGGCAGCAGGACTAGAACTTGGGCCCCCATTTTCCACTGCTTCCCAGCAGCTGTTGCACCTGCTGCCGAGTGAGCGATGCTTTCTTCCCATGACTGGGGATCCCAGAACCTTCCCAAGGTTACCCAGCACCCTTGGGCTGTCACTTTGTTCATCTGTCGTCAAGTGTCAGTGAATTCATTCACTCATTCCCAGAGATTTCCTGAGTGCTCGCTCTGCGCAGGTGCAGCAGGAGGCCTGGGTACCTGGCAGCTGCTCCCCAGACAAGGTTCTGGGCCTCGTTCTCGCTGCGCGCGTGTGACCCAGGTAGTGGCACCTTCACCAACAAAGGGGTTCCTCCCTCCCTGGGGACAAAGGCCGCCCCAAGGGACCCAGGCTCCTTCTCTTTCCGCCCTGCCAACCTTGGCTTGCGACTTTCTTCCTTGGGGTCAGAAAGTGAAAGCCCCACTTACAGCGGACTTGGAGGAACTGAGTTCAGCTTCAAACGTGGACACCAATGCCACCTGCACCATGAAGCCCTCCCAGCCCTGCTCCTGCGGAGCGTGACCTGCAAGTGGACCAGCAGGGTTCACCACCCAGCTGTCCTTTTAAGCGCACATTTTGAAAATGTTTATGTGTTAATTTTATTTATTTGAAAGGCAAAGTCACAGAAAAAGACAGACAGAAAGAGGGATCCTATCCTCTGGTTCACTCCCCAAATGTCTGCAACAGCTGGGGCTGAGGCAGGCTGAAGCCAAGAGTTGGGAACTTTTTTTTTTTTTTTTTTTTTTACAGGCAGAGTGGACAGTGAGAGAGAGAGACAGAGAGAAAGGTCTTCCTTTACTGTTGGTTCACCCTCCAATGGCCGCTGCGGCTGGCACGCTGCGGCCAGTGCACCGTGCTGATCCGAAGCCAGGAGCCAGGTGCTTCTCCCGGTCTCCCATGCAGGTGAAGGGCCCAAGCACCTGGGCCATCCTCCACTGCCTTCCCTGGCCCCAGCAGAGAGCTGGACTGGAAGAGGAGCAACCGGGACAGAAACTGGCGCCCCTACCGGGACTAGAACCCAGGGTGCCGGCGCCGCAGGCAGAGGATTAGCCTATCGAGCTGTAGTGCCGGCCAAGAGTTGGGAACTTTGTCTGGGTCTCCCACACAGATACCAGGGGCCCACGTACTTGTGTCATCACCTGCTACCTCCCAGGGTCACATTAACAGGCAACAGAAATGGAAATGGAGGGAGCAGCAGGATGTGACCCCAGACACACTGATACAGGGTATGGGTGTCCCAGATGGGGGCTTAATGTGCTGTGCTACAATGTCCAGCCCTTAGGTAAACATGCACAGGGTGGCCTTGGGGAACCGGGGTACAGTCGCCACTTGGAACACCTGAGGCCTACACTGGAGTCCCAGCTCCTCTGCTTTCTATCCAGTTTTTTTTTTTTTTTTTTTTTTTTTTTTTTTTGACAGGCAGAGTAGACAGTGAGAGAGAGAGACAGAGAGAAAGGTCTTCCTTTTGCCGTTGGTTCACCCTCCAACGGCTGCCGCGGCCGGCGTGCTGCGGCCGGCGCACCGTGCTGATCCGATGGCAGGAGCCAGGTACTTATCCTGGTCTCCCATCTGTTCACAAGTACCCTGAGAGGCGCAGGGTGATGGATGGCTCAAGTACTTGGATCCCTGCCACCCACATGGGAGGCCCAGAATGGGCCTGACTTCAGCTATGCCCACCCTGGCTGTAGGGAAACTTGGGGGTGAACAGCAGATGGAAGAGCTCACTCTTATTCTGCCTTTCAAATTAATGAATTAATTTTGAAAAGAACATGTGCCTAGAAAAGTAGAAAAGTCATTAAGTATATACAGAGTTTGAAGAATTTAAGTGAAAAGAAGAAACCATATAAACAGCACACAGACACACTCACGCACACACACACACGCAAACCCAAACAGGGCCCTGCTCTTGCAGATCCTGGAGGGCGAGCTGCTCACGCGTGGCGCTGGGCGGAGAGTCGGGGTACAGGGGCTGGAGCCGGGTTCCTCACCACCCCACCCCCGCCCCACTTTCTGTCTGAGTGACAGCGACTGCTCTGAGCTACTGTGGGAAGGGCAGCAGCTGTGGGAAGCCAGCGTCAGAGGAGCAGCCACGGTGGGGTAACCCGATAGAGGCCCTGTGAGGAGGGCCTCTGCAGTCCGGTGCCTGCACTCCCAGGGCCTCGGCTGCACCTTGCATGCCTCCTCCTGCAGGCCTCTGCTGCCGACAAGCGGAGTCTCCTCTGCTGATCTCGATCTGTTGCTTTTTAAAAAGATTTATTTATTTGTTTTTTACTTGAAAGGCAGAGTAACAGAGGCAGGGAAAGACAGAGAGAAAGACATCTTCCATCTGCTGGTTTACCCCCTAAATGAACAGAATGGTTGGGGCTGGGCCAAGCTGAAGCAGGAGCCAGGAACTCCATCCGGGTCTCCCATGTGGGTGCGAGGACCTACACACTTGGGCCATCCTCTGCTGCCTCCCCAGGCACATTAGCAGAGAGCTGGATGAGGAGCAGAGCAGCTGGGCTGTGAACCATAACTGCTCCCGCATGGAACGCCAGGGTCTAACGTGAGCAGTAGCCTACCTGTGATGCCACAACACCGCCCCACTGATCTGGATCTTCCTGCTTCCCCACAGTCTGACCCATCTGAGGGGCTGCAAAGCACACCTGGCCTTGCCTCTCCCTCACACTGCCCAGTGCCCTCAAGCTAGCTGGGTCCAGCTGAGTCCCCTGAGTGCATACCCTGGGCAGTGTTGGGTGGGCTGCCCAGGTGGGGGCCAGGAAGGAGGGGGCCTGGGCTGGGACAGCAACAACACCAGTGCCATCCTAGGGCTCCAGGCTGGCTTCCAGGATGGACCTGCACCTCAGCAGACATGCGAGGGACAGGGAGGTGTCAGGCAAGAAAAGGGGACTGCACAAGCAAGGGCCTTGCGGCCAGAGCACAGCATCCGGCACCCACAGTGGGTCAGCGACACTGGGACAGAGCACACAGGAGTGTGGGCCAGGAGACAGGCCACAGAGAACGGCAGGGCCCCGGGCCTGGACACCGAGCAGCAGTGGGAGCCAGGGGAGGGCTGCATGTGGGTGGCGGTGTGGGCAGATGCCTTCGGGCTGTAGGATGAAGGCCAGATCAGCAGGGAGTGGCTGGAGCTCCTTGGGGGTGCTGCTGCGGTGGCCCAGGCAGGGGCACGAGCATCCCGAGAGACAGGAGCAGGGGGGTGGGGCAGGAGCCACCACAGCCTCCCTGCCACCCACGGCCACGGCAGCCCACGGAGCCAGGCCAGCTCAGAGTCCCAGGCCCAGGCGGAAGGTCTGCTGCTGGTGGTGAACTAAACTCAGCTTGGAGCCCAGAGACCAATGCCACCTGCGCCATGAAGTCCCAGCCCTGTTCCTGCTGGCGGGTGCCCACAGCATGGCCCCCGAGTGGGCCAGTGGGGTTCACCACCCAGATTTCCGTGCCTCGGTTTCCATGCTGGTAAAAGGGGCATGACTGGGTCTCCCAGGCCTGGTGTGGAGATTAAATGAGTTAACAGATGTCAAGTGAAAAGAGCAAAGCTGGCCCAGAGCACGGATGGATGAAAGAGAGCTGTTGTCAGAGCCCCTGTGGCTGTCTCCCTCATGCAGGCCAGCGTCCTGAGGCAGGAGGGGTTTGACCAGCCTGGCACCCAGCATGTGGTCAGGGGCAGAAGAAGGGAAGGAAGGCTGGCCCACAACCTGCAGGCGCCTGTCCACCTGCCCCTCTTCCCATTGTCCCGGGCCAGGCGCTTAGGCAGGGCTGACTCCTGCTGGCAACCGTGGCCCTCCCTGGTCCCACTCCTGGGGCCGCACGCTGGCCACTAGCTTCGTTGCCCTGCCCAGGACACTTCACTCACATTCACCCAGAGTCCCCCTCACCCCCGTGCTCCCTGGGGAGCCCAGGAACTCAGGCATGGGGAGGGGAGTGTGGTTTCCTAGCACCTGTCCCCAGCCACAAAGACAAGCGCTGTGAGGGTGGCTGGCACCCACTCCAGGCTGCCTCACACAGGGTGCTGATGAATGAGTGCTCCACAGGGCTTGCCAAGGCTGACCCTGGGTGACAGGGAATAGAAAGGAGGCCAAGTGGGGAACCCCCAGCCAGCGGCTGCAGGAAGGTGAGGTAAAGCTATAGACTAGGGGTTCCAACCAGGGCAGGCAGGGAATGACGACAGCTGAGTGCTTAGTGTGAATTGAGGAGCGGAGCGGGGCCCTCACACCTCACACCTGGAGGGAGGGAGACAGGGTCAGGAGGTAGCACTGCATACAGCTACAGCTGTTCCCCAGGAGGGACAAAGTGAGGCGTTGGCAGGGACCCATACTGCTTTGGGCATGGTTTGTCCCCTAGGGGCTCATGTGCTGGAGGCCTGGCCCTCAGGGCGAGGGTGCTAGGGTCACTTTGAGAGGTGGGGCGTGCTGACACGGCTGGGCTGTTGGGGCCACTGCTCTCAGAAGGGGTTAAGGTAGTTCTATCGGAACCCTTGAGTTAGTTCTTAAGACAGTGTTGTGAGAAAAGCACCAAGGCCAGCGCCGCGGCTCACTAGGCTAATCCTCCGCCTAGCGGCACCGGCACACCGGGTTCTAGTCCCGGTCAGGGCGCTGGATTCTGTCCCGGTTGCCCCTCTTCCAGGCCAGCTCTCTGCTGTGGCCAGGGAGTGCAGTGGAGGATGGCCCAAGTGCTTGGGCCCTGCACCCCATGGCAGACCAGGAGAAGCACCTGGCTCCTGGCTTCGGATCAGCGCGGTGTGCTGACGCAGCACGCCGGCGGCGTCGGCCATTGGAGGGTGAACCAACGGCAAAGGAAGACCTTTCTCTCTGTCTCTCTCTCACTGTCCACTCTGCCTGTCAAAAAAATTTTAAAAAAAAGAAAAAAATAAAAGCACCAAGCCAGGGACTGGTGCTGTGACACAGCGACCAGTGCTGTGGCACAGCAGGTTAAAGCCCTGGCCTGCAGTGCTGGCATCCTGTGTGGGCGCCGGTTGTAGTTCCAGCTGTTCCACATCTGATCCAGCTCTCTGCTATGGCCTGGGAAGGCAGTGGAAGATGGCCCAAGTCCTTGGGCCCCTGCACCCGTGTGGGAGACCTGGAGGAAGCTCCTGGCTCCTGGCTTTGGATCAGCACAGCTCTGGCTGTTGTGGTCATCTGGGGAGTGAACCAGCAGATGAAAGACCTCTCTCTCTGTCTCCGCCTCTCTCTGTAAGTCTTTCAAATAAATCTTAAAAAAGAAAAGAAAAGCAAAGCAAAGCACCAGGCCGGGCTGGGCCAGTGCTGTAGTTCAGCCACCACCTGCAGTGACGCCATCCCATATGGATGCTGGTTCAAGTCCTATCTGCTCCAAATCCAATCCAACTCCCTGCTAAAGCACCTGGGAAAGCAGCAGAGGATGGCCTGAGTGCTTGGGCCCCTGCATCCAGAAGAAGCTCCTAGCTCCTGGCTCCACCCTGGTCCACCCCAGCTGTTGTGGCCATCCGGGGAGTGAAATCAGCCCAGTAGACGGAAGCTCTATTTGTCTCTCCTTCTCTTTCTTTAACTCTTTCAAATAAATAAATCTTAAAAAAAAAAAAAAAAAAAAAAAAAAAAAAAAAGAGCAAGCTGGGCACCATCCAGCACTGCCCTCCCCTGCCCCGCCCCTGCCTCTGCCCCCAGCACACACCCCTGCCTTTGTGGCACCAGTAGGTCTTCGCCAGAGCACAGCAGATGCTGGTGCCACACCCTGGAGCCTTCAGAACTGTGAGCCAAATGAGCCTCTTTCCTTGATAAAGTCACCCCGCCTCGTGGCTGTGATGGAAACGTGACCAACACAGGACCCTCCCCAGTGCAGGGAACCGGACGCAGTGGACACCAGCAGCAGCAGACACAGCCCCTGCTTGGAACCTGGCAGTGCACTAAGCACCAAGCAATGAGGCTCCCACACGTGCGCCCAGTCTCTGGGAACCCAGCGCAGCCTGTGACCTGCCCTCCTCTGACTCCCCAGCCAGGCCCCCACCCGCTGCCCCCAGCCCCGCATAACTAAGGACCCCAGGGGCAGATGGGAGGCAGCAAAGCACAGTGGGTCAGAGCTGGGGCTCCAGCGTCAGCCAGCCCTGGGCTCCAACCCTGGCCACACCAGGGCCGGCACCGTCACCTCGCTGAGCTGCTGCGTCCTCATCTGCCTCAGTGCCAGGAATGCCCTAGCCAGTGCCCAGGACAGATGCCAGGGGGCTGCGGAGTCCCGGTCAGGGAAGGAAGTGGCCGTGCTGGGCTCACCTGGCTGAGCACAAAGAAGGTGCGGACGTTCCAGAAGCGGGCCTGCTCCTGGAGGAAGGTTTTCAGGTAGACGCCCTCGAAGGTCTTGAAGCAGCAGACCAGGGTGACGAAGGTCTCGTCCTCCGCATTGTCCGTGATGCTCTGCAGGATGGGCACCATGGGGGCCAGGCCCGTGCCCGCAGCCAGCATGAGGAGCTCGCCGTGCTGGGGACAGAACGGGCGCAGGACGTGTGTGTATGGGTGGCCTCATGTCCCCATGCCATCACGTGGCCTTCTCCTGGGCTTGCTGGAACGCTGGAACTGGACAGCGCTGTCCTTCCTGGATGTCCCCATCCATGTCCCTTCGACCTCCCGGCTCCCGGCCTCTTACAGAGGGGCGATCCTCGTCAAGGTTGGGGCCTCAGAGGTTAGCGCGTGACCCATGCAAAGGCACTTACCTTCCACATTCTAGCGTTAGCCCCCAGCTGTGTGATGCGGGCCAGGTCTTTCACCGGTCTGAGCCCGTTTCTTCATCAATGAAAAAGAACAGCATTTCCCCCACGGCAGCAGCTATGAGAGCCGTCGTGAGGGGTGAGCTGGCACAAAGCGCCCAGTTCCCACCCTGGGCTTTATCTGGTCAAGCCCCTTCCCCGCTTCAGCCCGAGGCTCATCCCTGCAGGCAATGGCTGGTGGCTCTCCTCCTCCTCCTCTCCAGCTCACTCGGTCGCTCTCCTGGAAGCCTTCTCTGGGCCGGGGGCAGGAGGGAGGTGCTTCCTTTGTGTTCCCACAGCTCCCAGCGCATCGCTCTGCATGACAGTGGTCACTCTGTGTTGCTGTCATTTGGAGGATGGGGGGCTTGTCTGGCCCATGTCTGGGTCCCTAGAGTCTGGCATGGGCCTGGCCCTGGGTGGACACTGGTATAGGTCAGCAGAATGGATGCACAGCGAGATGCTAATGAGCCAGTGCCCAGGGCTGCTATGAGATCCATGTGCAGTGATGAGGACCACAGAGCAGCAACACGGGTCTGGGCAGAGGGCAGCAGCACCCGGCAGTCTCACGGGAGCAAGGCCCAGCCTCGCGCCTGTGCCAGCGGGCAAGTATTAGTATGTGAGACGCCCTCTCCGCTCCCTCCCAGCCAAGCCCACAGCCTCCTCTGAGAAGCAATCAGGGGCGCTCCAGCAGCCTGTGCATGCAAACGAGCAGCCACAGGCAGCAGGGCTCCCGCTGAGACGTGGCGGCCGAGACATCTATCCAGCATGGGCGTGCCAGGCCAAGAGGACACAGGGACAGTTCCCATGTCCTGCTCTCACCCAAGGGCCTGAGGGACACTGAGGCCCCCATGGCTAAAATGCAAGGCTGAGCCTGGTTAGTGTTAGAAGTTGCCTGTGGGAGAGGGTCAGCACATGCACACCACATGGTTGTACGTGTGCACGGAGGCAGCGGCACCAGTGAGCTGCTGTGAGGATTAAATGAGTTCCTCACAGCAAGTGTCAAGGGCAGAGCATGGCACACAGGAGGTGCCACGTATGGACTCGGTATCACTACACACACGGGTGTGTACGTGTGTGCATGCGTGTCTCTATCCACACCCATGCACAGAAGAGGGTCTGGAAGAAGACACCAGGGTCACACGGCTGGCATGTCTAGGTGGGGAGATGACCAGCGGTGTGTTTTTTTATTTTCTTCTTGTTGTCTCTCTCCACCTGCTGACTTTTTGGTAATGAACATGTACCGCATTTGTAATAAGAAAGAAAGAATAAAAGCTATCTTTAAATCATACAAAAAGAATGGCGAGGGGAGCGTGACTCACCCTTCCCCATTTGTTTTCATGTGGCTTTGTTTTCCTCATTCTAAAGGTAATAGGTGTTCCATGCATATCATTTGGAAAGTATAATGAAGAAAATAAAATCACTCGTAACTCCACCAGCCTGAGCTGCTAACATGTCATGGCATTTTCCTTTCATAATTTTTCTGTGCTTGTTAAGTGAGTTTCCAACCTGTTGTATATTGTTTTTTGGCCCAGTGTTTGTCACTGGCTCTCACAGCACAAACATGTCACATCACTTACAAACATGCCTTTGAAGTCCAGGGTAATATTCTTTTTTTTTTGTTTTGTTTTTTTTGACAGGCAGAGTGGACAGTGAGAGAGAGAGACAGAGAGAAAGGTCTTCCTTTGCCGTTGGTTCACCCTCCAATGGCTGCCGCGGCCGCCACGCTGCCGCCGGCACACCGCGCTGATCCGATGGCAGGAGCCAGGTGCTTCTCCTGGTCTCCCATGGGGTGCAGGGCCCAAGTACTTGGCCCATCCTCCACTGCACTCCCTGGCCACAGCAGAGAGCTGGCCTGGAAGAGGGGCAACCGGGACAGAATCCGGTGCCCCGATTGGGACTAGAACCCGGTGTGCCGGCGCCGCATGGCGGAGGATTAGCCTAGTGAGCCACGGCGCCGGCCCAGGGTAATATTCTACCAGGTACCCGCAGCCCTGTGTTCTTAACCTTTACCCTGCTGCTGGGCATGAAGTTGCTCCAGTTTTGTGCTGTTAGAAACAAAGATACCACAAAGGTGTACAAAAGAGCCGGCACTCTGGGTCCTTCCCGGAGGCTAGACTCACAGAAGGGGCAGCCCTGGGCTAGGCCATGTGAAGACTGGGAAGGCCCCCAGCACCCAGTGCCACACCACTTTCCAGACAGGCACTAGCTGCTACGGAATTGCGAGTGTCTCCTGGGAAAGCAGAGAGGGGTGTGAGCAGAGCGGGGCAACCTCTGAGCTGGGAAGCGGTGGGCTCTCAGCACAGAGCCCTGCCGTGTATTTGGTGTTAGGGCTGCGAAAGGGAGAGGAATGGGATCTGAGGTCTCATGGTATAAGGTCAGATGTCCTAAACACCAAGCATGTGAGCCTGATTTCCTAAGCCATGGGCAGCCATGGGTAGTCCCGGAGCCCGGGCAGGCAGTTTGTCCACCAGTGCCTACTCCATCTCCTCTGTCCAGCTCCAAGGATATGCTCAGGGCTGGGTCGGAGATTTCATGGCCTGAAGCATGACCAGCACAGGCCTGGAAGATAGGCCAAGATGGGGCTGCTCAGGACCAAGGGTTTGGGCACTGACCTGGTTTGGTTTATAGAAGAAGCCTCCGAAAGGTCCTCGCCAGAAAGCTGTGTCTCCTGGTCTCCAGGACTCCACATACTGGGACATAAGCCCGGTCTGATAGCACTGGAAGAAAACACAGGGAGACCTCGATGGGATGGGCACATGGTCAACAGACCACATTGCCCATCAAGGGGGAGCCTGTCCTGCTTGCTAACTGCTCGACCTGTGTTATCTCATTTATTTAATTTATTTTCATTGTTCATTTATGTAGAAGGTAGAGCTACAGAGACACAGACAGAGAGAGATCTTCCACTTGCTGGTTCACTCCCTCAAATACCAGCAACAGCCAGGGCTGGTCCAAGGTCAAAGCCAAGGGCCTGGAACTCAGTCAGGGTCTCCCCTGTGGGTAGCAGGGGCCCAACACTCAAGTCATCATTTGCTGCTTCCCAGGACGCACACCAGTAAGAAGCTGGACTGGAAGCAGAGTTGTTGGGACTGAATCAGGCACTTGGCTACAGGATGTGAGCATCCCAACCTGCTGCAGCACAGTAACCTCCACCTCCACCACAAACCACTGTCCTGTTTAATTCCTCTGTCACCCTGTGAAGCTGGTATCGTCCTTATCCGTTTTCAGATGCAGCCCAGGAGCTTGCACAGGAAGTAGGTGGAGAGGCTGGGATGAGCATGCACAAGACCTGCGCGTCTGTACAGGGGGCTCAAACCCAAACACCTTCAGAGCCCATGCAGGTAACGGCAGGGAGGGAGGAGCCAGGTCACGATGATTAATGGCAGTTCATGCTCTGCCTCTGTCTGGGAGACAACAGGGAGTGGAGGGGACCATGAGGGGCCGGTGAGTGGATGCTCCTTCTGATGGTGCAGCCACTGGGCAGGTTCAGGTCCAGGCTGGGGGGCTGGTGATGCAGCATCATCCACCTTTCCAAGACAGGCAGGGAATCCCTATTTTTACTTGAAATCTCCTATTTCTGAAATGTCATTAATTAATTTTTTTTGACAGGCAGAGTGGACAGTGAGAGAAAGAGACAGAGAGAAAGGTCTTCCTTTACTGTTGGTTCACCCTCCAATGGCCACTGCAGTTGGCGCACCGTGCTGATCTGAAGCCAGGAGCCAGGTGCTTCTCCTGGTCTGCCATGGGGTGCAGGGCCCAAGCACCTGGGCCATCCTCCACTGCACTCCCTGGCCACAGCAGAGAGCTGGCCTGGAAGAGGGGCAACCGGGACAGAATCCGGCGCCCCGACCAGGACTAGAACCCGGTGTACCGGTGCCGCAGGTGGAGGATTAGCCTATTGAGCTGCAGCGCTGGCCTGAAATGTCATTAATTACTTTTTATAAATATTTATTTATTTATTTGAAAGCCAGAATTATACAGAGAGAGAAGGAGAGGCAGAGAGAGAGAGAGGTCTTCCATCTGCTGATTCACTCCCCAATTGGCTTCAATGGCCAGAGCTGCAACGATTCAAAGCAGAGAACCAGGAGCTTCCTCTGGGCCTTCCCACTCGGGTACAGGGGCCCAAGGACTTGGGCCATCTTCTATTGCTTTCCCAGGCCACAGCAGAGCGCTGGATCAGAAGTGGAGCAGCTGGGACTTGAACCGGTGCCCACATGGGTTGCCAGGACTGTAGGCAGCCACTTTACCCACTATACCACAGTGCTGGTCCTATCAATTAATTTAAATTTTAAAACACTGTGCAGGCCGGCGCCACAGCTCAATAGGCTAATCCTCTGCCTGCGGTGCTGGCACACGGGTTCTAGTTCCGGTCAGGGCACCAGATTCTGTCCTGGTTGCCCCTCTTCCAGGCCAGCTCTCTGCTGTGACCCGGGAGTGCAGTGGAGGATGGTCCAAGTCCTTGGGCCCTGCACCCACATGGGAGACCAGGAGAAGCACCTGGCTCCTGGCTTCGTATCAGCACGATGCGCTGGCTGCGGCGGCCATTAGAGGGTGAACCAACGGCAAAAGAAGACCTTTCTCTCTGTCTCTCTCTCTCTCTCACTGTCCACTCTGCCTTTAAAAAAAAAAGATGCTCAAAGCATTTTAAAAAAAAGAAACACTGTGCAGGCCATATACATGTGTGGGCTGGAAGGTGGGTGTCGGGGCAGAGCAGGTTAAGCCACCGCTTGGGATGCCCACATCCCATATCAGAGTACCAGGTTTGAGTCCTGGCTGCCCTGCTTCTGATCCAGCTCCCTCTGCCTGAGAGACAGTGGAGGAAGATGGCTCAAGTACTTGGGTTGCTGCCACCCACATGGGACACCAGGAAAGAGCTCCTGGCTCCTGGCTCCTGGCTCCTGGCTTTGGCCTTGCCCAGCCCTGGCTGTTACAGTCATTTGGGAAGTGAACCTGCAGATGGATGATACGTGTTTCCCTCTCTCTGTGTCACTCTGCCTTTAAAACAAATAAATCTTAAAAAAAAAAAAAAAGAAAAAAGAAAGAAAGAAAAAGAAAAAAGCGTGGGCTGGCTTTGCAGGCCACCCATTTGCAATCCCTGTGTCATCCTGTACCCTTTCCTGGCAGGACAAAAGATGGAAGTTGTAGTAGGGATTCCTCCATGGGGTAGGGCCTGCCCACTGTGTTGGGCACCATGCTGCAGGGTAGAGAATGGGCCTTAAGCTCCAGGAAGGCAGTCAGTGTCTGAACCATAGACAGGATTTAATAACAATCTGAAGGAATGAATCAACCAACCAAAGCCATCTGGATTTAGTGTCTCCCCTGACGGAGCTCCCCATCTAGGAGGGAGACACTACCTAACACCCCATGAGAAAGAGAAAGCACTAGAATCCTGAGGAGGCAGGCACTTTCAGAGTGGGGTCAAGGATGGAGGAGGATGTGTTTGGGTGGCCCCTGAAGGACAGGCAGGAAGGAATTCACTGGGATGGGGGGCGGCAGTGCAGAGAGGATTTTAGTCAGGAGCGGGACTGCGTGGGTCATGTTTTGGGGAGAGCAAGTGGATGTGGTGGGGTTCGGGGAAGCCGCGGGAGACAGGCGCAGGAGGCTGCGTGCAGTGAGAGCACAGCCAGGCCCTTGCTGCCCACACCCGCCTTCCAGCACCCGCAGCCCCTTCCGCTGCCACCCTGACTTCCTCGGGCACCCCTGCAGAAGGGAGGGGGTCCCGGGCTCAGCCAGAGCGGTCTGGAGGGAGGGTCCGCCTGTGCCCTGCCTCGCAGGCGCCTGTGCCTAGGGGGCGGCATGGCCGCAGCTGTGGCCTCGGAGACCTGCAGCACAGGGAGTGCTGGAGAAGGGAAGGGCTCCCCCGTGTCCCCAGCACCCGCACAGAGCCCAGCACCGCAGGAGCACCCAGTCCACATCTCCCGTGTCCCCAGCACCCACACAGAGCCCAGCACCGCAGGGACGCCCAGTCCACATCTCCCGTGTCCCCAGCACCCACACAAAGCCCAGCACCACAGGAGCACCCAGTCCACATCTCCTGTGTCTCCAGCACCCACACAGAGCCCAGCACCGCAGGAGCACCCAGTCCACATCTCCCGTGTCCCCAGCACCCGCACAGAGCCCAGCACCGCAGGGACGCCCAGTCCACATCTCCCGTGTCCCCAGCACCCACACAGAGCCCAGCACCACAGGGATGCCCAGTCCACATCTCCCGTGTCCCCAGCACCCACACAGAGCCCAGCACCGCAGGGACGCCCAGTCCACACTTGTCAAACGTAACAGACACTGCACTCCAGCCTCCCTCTCGGGATCATCCGACCTTGGGACAAGGGCTTCCTGTCTCTGAGCTCCAGTGTCTTCCTCTGGAAAACAGCGAGAACGAGAGCTGCTCTGCAGGGTGGCGATGAGGTTAGGGCCAGAAGCAGTGCTCAGCGCCCAGGTGCCTTTGAGGAAGGCAACCGCACAAAACTCTGCTGCCTCCCTGAGCTGCAGAGACGTTTCTGGCTCTCGCTAGCCAGCGGCTTAGGGGTAATTAAGCATCTCTCTAAGTGAGGCTTTCTGGTAAACGAAGGAGAAAATCAGCCTTGCAGCTGGGAGCCATCCAGCCGCCCTGAAGAACTGCGCAGCAGACACCCAGGCAGCAGCCGGGGGCGGCAGGCCATTTGGAGAGGATTTGTGGGATCTCCCAGACAAACAGCTGCGTGGAGAAGGGATTGCATCCAAACCCATGTATGTCAGGAGAAGCGCTCAGCCTCTGAAGGCGGCTGGGGAAGACAGGAGCCAGAGCCAGGGCTGGGGGCCTCGCGGGCCGGGGTAGGGGCCAGGCTCACCGCCTCGGCACTGCTTGCTCGCCCTGTAGCCTGGGGCCTCCTGGGGCCTCCAGGTGCTTATCAAAGCAGCAAGAATAATTGGAATGTGAAAACTACTCCTACATACTGGTGTGCCCTGGGATTCCATTAGGGAAACGATGGTCTAGGGCTATCCAGCAGGCTGACCACCTGCTATTTCTGTAAGTCAAGAATGCTTAAGACTATCAGCCATTTCATTAGTTCAACCCATTCTCTCCACGTCATTGGGCAGAGGTTTCACACACATTTGTCGCCTATTGCTCAGGACTCTAGAGTGTCCTCTATCCAACCCACTTGGTTCCCCTCATCTCTGCCAACTTCTCCACCTGCGGCTGCTAAGCACCACCTCCTCCTGTTCCCAGGGAACCCACATCCTTTCTCTTTGCTTCTGGCCAGAATGCCAGGCCTCACCACTGCCAGGCTCTGCTCCTTCTTCCAGGGCCCACTCAAGCGCCCCGAGGGGGGACGTCTGGCTGGTTCAGCCCACCAGGTCCTCCACGATCCACTGCCACCAGACGCTGTTAGCACACACTCCTTCTGTTCCAGGACGAAGGACCGACGTCCCCGATCCATGCCTCTCATGCTGCTGTCCCCAGCACCCTTCTCTCATTCGCTCCACGCCACTCTCATTCGCTCCACTTCTCCTCTGTACACACAGCCTCGCTTCCCTGCACCCCTGCTCCCTGAGGTGGGCTGGGACTTCTCTGTCACCACCTCCATCGCACTGCTTTGTCCAGGTCTGGTCACTCATCTTGGGGTGGGTCCCCGGTGGGCGGGTGCTGTGTCAGATGCACCTGTGGACCTCGAAACCCAGAACACGGCAGGTGTGGGGGCCTTGGTTCCTGTTGCCATGCTGGCCTGGTACTCGCCCCCTGGGATAGGTACAACAGTGAGAAAGGAGTCCCTTTTCCTCTTTCCAAAAATCTGCCAGAAGGGTGCCCTCCGCTGTGGTCTGGCAGACCCTCAGAAAGGATAAAGGAGAAGGCCTGCTTCACCCGGCCTTGTTTCTCCCTCAGGTCAGCCTCCTCTGCACAAACACTGGCTTCTCTCCCACCCGTGGACATGGCCTCATCCTAACTCAGCTGACAAAGGGGGCCCCAGCCCCTGGCATCTTTGGGCACCCTCAGCAGTCAACTCACCTTAATCAAAACGTCGAAGTATCCTTTAGCATTGGAGGGGCTGATGGGTGTGTAGGCTCTCTGAATTTCTAAGTCATTTACTCTTCCCCTGGGAAAGACCGGCACTGAGTCAGACAGTCGTTCACCAAATCCGTATCAGCTACCCGCCCCACCAGGAAGGTGACAGCCAAGAGGGCCCACTCACCCCCAGGCATCTTCGCTGAGGGGCAGGCAAAGCGCAGAGAAAACAGGCACGGGCCTCACCCAGGACTGCACGAGACCCAGCACATCATCTAACCCCTCCTGCCCCCACTCAAAGATTTATTTATTTGAAAGGCAGAGTTACAGAGATACACACACACACACACACACACACACACACACAATCTTTCATCTGCTGATTCACTCCCTAAATGCTCGTAACAGCCAGGGCTGGGCCAGGCTGAACCCAGGAGCCTGGAACTCCATCCCAGTCTCCCACATCAGTGGCAGTGGCCAAGTACCTGCTCATCATCTGCTGCTTTCCCAGACACATTAGCAGGGAGCTGGATTGGAAACAGAGCAGCAGGGACTCAAACCGACACTCTTGTATGGGATGCTGGCAGCGCAAGCAGCAGCTTAACCTGTGGCACCATGCTGGTCCCCCCCACACACACACACAAAGGGGACAGCCACCTGTGTCCTGGTCGTGTGGCTATTCTGGCATTACAGATGGGCAAGTGCTTCACAAGTGCACTGAGGATGTGAGCTCTTTGGCGGCCGTGACTGTGGCATCTCCTGACCTCCTGTTGGCCACACAATGACAAAGAGAAGAACCCCTGCTGACATGTATCAGATAGGCATTACCATGTGCCAGGAGCATGGGCCAAAGGGGCCCTAGTCCAAAGCCCTGTGGCCTGCAGGAATCCTCTCTCTACAATGTTATCAGCAATGAGGTTAGCCAACACGAGTAATAGTGACATTGTATTAAGGGCCCACAGTGCACCAAACACACAGGATGAACTCAATCATTCAATTAAAAAAATAAGCCAAAGACGGAATCCAGTGCTTAAGAGAAGTCACTTGCACAGCCAGAATCCAGCCATAGTCTGACCCAGAGTCGCGTTCCTTGGTCCTCTTCCTCAAGGCTTCCCAGGAACATCAAACACTCCCCTCTCAAGGCTGCAGTGTGCACAACTCTTCCTTGCAGCACGCAAAGATTTATAAGCCCTGTCCTAATGCATCGAAAGCTGGAAAGCAGGACAGAAATACGTAATGAAGTCTATGAGACAAGCAAGGGAATACGGAACAGAATGCATGCCGTGGCTTGGAGGCGGAGTGCCCACCCTCATCCGGGGAAGCTTAACAGGCTCTTGCAGTTGGGTACTGAGGATGGACAGGGGACAGCGGGGACAGGAGGGTCAGTAATTCCAGGCAGAGGGAATAGCTGGGCAGCAGCTCAGGGACAGGACAATGTGGGCAAGTCAGGAAATGGTGGGCAGACGAGGAGGCGGGGCTCAAGGGCAGGGGGAGGGAGGAGAACTTGGTTGGGGGAAGGGAGGGTAAGAGGAGGCAGTAAGCTGTTTGCATGTGGGCAGGGGTGATACGGCCAGGTCCATGTTGAGGAAGTCACTGGAGTAGCAGACAGGACACAGGAGAAGATTTGGTCTAGGAACAGGGAGTTCTGGGCATCCCATTATACGGACAGAGGGCTCTGTGGGGCCGTGACCTGTCCTGTGGCTCCTCCTGGCCACTGAATGGTAGCCGTCAGGCCACAGGCCAGACGAGCGGGACACAAACACCAGGGCCCAGGACAAGCACAGTGGAGTCTGCTCAGAAGCTCGCTCCTGTTCTCTCCGTGCCCTCTGGCTGTACTTTCTGCCTCCTCTGCTGGCTCCTGCTCTTGCCAACACTGAAAATGCCAGTGCTCCAGGGCTTGTCCTATGCCCTTTCCTCTTCCCATGCACACGCGGCCTCAAATGCCAGCCGGGTTGGGGCCATGTCTGCCACTCAGATCTTTCCGCGGAGCCTCAGAGCCCACAGACTCAGCTGCCTGGCAGACACCTCCACCTGGGCGTCACAGGGGTCCTGTCCCTGGGCAGGAGGGGGTGGGGATCAGGAGGGAGAAGAGCCAAAGTAGGCTGGGGCTGGGGGTGAGCTAAAGCCCAGGGCAGTGGTTAAGAGTAACCCAGGAGCCAGGCTGTCTGGGTTTGAATTTGGCTCAATGAATTAGCAGCTATGTGATGCTGGGCAGGTTCCTTATTCTCGGTGACAGTGTCCTTTCCACCAAGTGGTGCTAATCCAATTACGCTCAGACATGGGATCTAGAGCCAGACGCCCTGCCCTCACATCTTGGCTCCCATATTTAACTGGGTGATGAGGGGCAAGTTCCTGAACCTCTCCAACTTCACTTTTCTCTGGGGGATGACAATAGACTTGGTGAGGGTGACTCCAGGTCACAGCCATGAGCTCCCCAGGTTAGCACTTCCTGTGAACATACATTAACCACTTCACTCCCAGAATGCTCTGTACCACGGGCTACTACATCAACAGTGAGGCTGATGAACGGAGGCTGCAGGCAAGTCGGTCAGCTGCCCTGGGCCCCAGCTAGCAAGTGGCAAGATGGGCTGCAAAGCTGGGGGCCTCCCGCTGCCTGTGTGTACCTCAGGATGAGGTGCTGCCCTGGCCACAGGCCAAGCTGGCTGTTCCCTGGGAGTGCAAACCGCACGCGGTAGGTGTCCTGAGTAACCTTCTCCATGGCGCTGATGCAGAAGCCCACGAAGGTCTCCGGGTTCAGCTGGAAAGGGCGGCTCTGCAACCAGAAAAGACCCGGAAGCCAGGGCCAGGGCTCAAGGACTCGCCAGCAGCCGCCGGCAGGCCACCCACTTCCCTGGAGAGGCCCTCTCGGCCACGGGCTCCCCCTTCCCTCTCATGCTCTGATCCAAGAATGCCAGAGCACTTCACACAGGGCCTACCCTGCTCTGAAGCCAGCCCTGGCTCCCTGGGGGCAAGGATAAAGTGCAGGCACCACAGGACGCTCAAGGGCCCAGGGGACAACCCTCAACCCCTTGCCGTCTCCCGTGCTTTTTCCCATCTTCTCAAGCCCAGGCTGCCGCCTCCTTCCTCTGTGTCCTCACTGCTCGAGCCGTGCCCTCTCTCCAGAACACTTGTCTCCAAGGTACAAAAGACCCACTCATCCTGCAAACCTGCTACATTGCAATTTCTGAATTGAGAAATGAAGGGACTTTAACGATGACCTTATTCAACGTCCTTTTATTACCAGGAAACTGGCTTACCTTTCCAAGATCACACTGAGCAGGGACACAAGCTCATGTCTGCTCAATCTCGCTCCACTACCCCTAACATTCCATTCCCACCTGCACTTCCTCCAGGAAGCCTTCTCTGACTCTCTCTTCTAGAAAATGCCCACATACAGCTCATTCCTGGGACACGGCCTACTGCCCCTGCCCAGGCCCTGCCCAGCTCTGGAACCCCAGTTACCTGTGAGAGTGCTGACAGTGTCACAGAACTGACAGAAACACTCAGGCTCTGCCTCCAACCCACACCACCTCCAACCCCAGGCCTGGATGACCTTGTCATCAGCCAGAGGACCAGGGTACCCTGTGTCAGTCTCCTGGTATTCGGAGAACAGCACTGGACTTGGAAGAAGAACGAGGTTTCGCCCCAGCTCAGCAGCTGCCTGCCTGCAGGGCCTCAGGCAAATCATCTGATCTTCTGGGTCTCAGTTTCCTCATCTGTAAAAAGGGGCCATTCACTTCTGACACTTTGCAGTTGCTCACGAGGGATGAATGAGATAACAATGTCAAAGGATTTTACAAAATGTAAACTGCTCTGGAAGTGTAATGTACAATTCCTTCCTGTTATTGATCCATTAAAATGTTTTATTCTTTTAAAGATTTACTTACTTATTTATTTGAACGGCAGAGTTGGAGAGAAGCAGAGGCAGAGAAAGAGAAAGAGAGAGAATCTTCCATTCACTGATCCATTCCTCAAATAGCTGCAATGGTAGGGCTGGGCCAGGCCAAAGCCTGGAGCCAGGAGCTTCATCTAGGTCTCCCAACTGGGCACAGGGGCCCGAGCACTTGAACCATCTTCTGCTGCTTTTCCAGGTGCGTTAGCAGAGAGCTGCATTGGACGTGAAGCAGCTGGACTTGAACCAGCATCTGTGTGGGACGCCGGTGTTGCAGGCAGTGACTTAACCTGCAGTGCCAGGTACTAGCCCCAGAGTTTTAAAAAATGAGCTTACAGTATGCTATTTTGGGGTATGGGTGCTTGGTCTAGTGGTTAAAATGCCTGCATCCCCTGTTGGAGTGCCCAGGCATACTTCCCAACTCTGGCTCTAGCTTCTGATTCTAGCTTCTTGCTAGAGCAGACTCTGGAAGGCAGCAGGTGATGATGGTCCAAGTAGTTAGATCCCCGCCACCCATGACCATTCATAAAATATGCTATTGTGTAAGACTGACAAAATCTTACAATATAACTCAACTCTTCATTTCTTATAACAGTTGCCACAATGGCCACTATTTATGGAGGACCTACTGTGTGCCTGTTTATCCCATGAAGTCCTCATGATAACCTACAATAAGTGGTGCCATCCCCATTTTCATTTGGCAGACCGAAGTGACCTGCCAACATCTTGTGATGGACGAGCAGAACCGGGCCTCGGGTCACCCCTTTCCAGTACACCCTTGTGATTCTCTGTCCTGCCAGCTGAGCTTTTTGTAGACTGGGGCCTTCACCAAGTAAACCATCTTTACTTCACCACCAGGTTCAAGGTGCTGACAGAACAGCGAGCAAGACTGAGCCTGCTCTCTCTCTCTCTCTTTAAAATGATTTATTTATTTAAAAGCCTCAGTAACACACAGAGGGAGAGACAGAGACAGAAAGAGAGAGATCTTCCACCCACTGGTTCACTCCTTGAATGGCCATACTGGCTGGTGTTGGTCTAGGCCAAAGCCAGGAGCCTGAAGCTCCATCTGAGTCTCCCACAAGGATACTCTCTGTAACTCTGCTTTTCAAATACATAAATAAATCTTAAAGACAAAAACAAAAACATCACATGTGTTTAGCCCCATTTTACAGACAAGGGAACTAAGGTTTAAGGAGATTAAGGGACTTGGCCTAAAACCATATGGCTGCTAATTAGTTCATTCCAGGGCTGGGCTTTGGCCTTAATCTCCCCGCTTCCATTAGACACATTCTCTTCTCCCTGCCGGGGAAGTCAGGGAAAGCGTCTCAGAGCAGGGGAGAGGCCAAGCCGACTCTGCCACCCCGGCCCTCTGGTCCGAGCAGCAGCCTCTCTCACCTGCGACTTCTCTCCATTCAGTAGGCTCCTGTCCCTGCTGGCTCGGGCTGCCTCCCACCTTGCCAGGTCTAGGTGATAGAGGTCAAACACACAGGGTGAGCAGCCACCGCCACAGCACTGGGAGGGGGAGGGCTCCACGGGCCGCAGCTGCAGCCAGGCCTCCTCAGTGTCGCTGTCCTCCTCCTCCTCGTCCATGGTCAGTGGGGCCTGGGCAGTCTGAGGGTGGGGGTGGGGGGCAACCATGTACTCTTCCCAGAGAAGGCCAGGCTCCGTGAGGCCCCAGGCCCTCCTCCCTCGCTGGCCTAGGAGAGAAAACACAGGGGTTATACTCTGGTCTCCCTAGGGCTTGCATTCCCCAAGGCTTCCAGGTGCCAGGTTCTGTGCAAGCACTAGGGGACAGAGACAGATCAAGCATGGAGTTTGCAGTCTGGAGGGGGAGCAATCGTGACTTCCTGCCATGAGCTACAGAAGCGCAGCCCCTCTGTGTGAAATGTGTCTTCAAGAGGGTTTGTCTTCAGCAAACTGGTTCTACGGCTCACAAGTTCTATGAAGTCAGGAAAGTTCAGGGCTGGGACCCCCTCGAAGACAAGGCTGCTGTCTTATTCTGTGTTCTACCACCAATCACAGCCTGGTTATGGAAGGCTCCCAGTGTGTGGCGAGCGCTTATTCAGTTTACACACAGTCTGGGAACCGGGCACATGCTAGGTGTGCGATGCAATGGAGGGGAAGACCACATGGTCCCTAACTTCAAGGGGCCTAGCAAGGAGTTACATCAACCCAGCCTAGCTGTACTATGTGCAAGCTAGGCATGCTGCCTGGGTGAACGAATGAAAGAGTCTGGTCCCCTCTATACATCAATTTCCTACTACCCACTTGGGCTAAAGGGAGGAACGCAAAAGAGCTCTATAACTCTAAATTGCTACACAGTGAGGGCTAGTTACATCCCTTTCTCCTTAGAGTTTCCTTCTCCATGAGCTTGTTTTTTTTTTTTTTTTTTTTTTGTTTTTTTTTTTTTTTACGATTTTATTCGCTTTGCTAGAAAGAGTTATTACAGAAAGGCAGAGGCAGAGGCAGAGAGAGAGGTCTTCCATCCTCTGATTCACTCCCCAGATGGCCACAATGGCCGGAGCTGAACCAATCTGAGGCCAGGAGCCAGGAGATTGTTCCAGGTCTCCTACATGGGTGCAGGGGCCCAAGGATTTGGACCATCTTCTACTGCTTTCCCAGGCCACAGCAGAGAGCTGGACTGGAATTTGAACAGCTGGGACTTGAACCCGGGGCCCATATGGAATGCCAGCACTGCAGGCGGCGGCTTTACCCGCTATGCCACAGTGCCGGCCCCCTCCACGAGCTTTAATAGCCCCATTCTTTGGTATCTTAGAATTGCCAGAGAAGTTGCCATGTCAGTTATGAATCTGAGAGTCCACTGGTTCATGGCACCTTTTTAAAGGCCTCTTTTTCTTTTAAGAATTACGTATGTGCGTGAGGGGAGTGGTGCTGTAATGCAGCAGGTTAAGCTGCTGTGTGCAGTGCTGGCATCCCATTTGAGAGCTGGTTCGAGTCCCGGCTGCTGCACTTCCAATCCAGCTCCCTGCCCAGAAGAGAATGGCCCAAGTGCTTGGGCCCCTGCACCCAGGTGGGAGACCCAGATGGGACACCCAGATGAAGCTCCTGGTTCCTGGTTTTGGCCTGGCCCAGTCCTTTTGGGGAGTGGATCAGTAGATGGAAGATCTCTTTCCCCTCTCTGTCTCTCCCTCTCTCTCACTGTTAACTCTCTCAAGTAAATAAATAAAGCTTTTTAAAAAATGTATGGGGCTGGCACTGCGGCAAAGCGGATACAGCCAGTGTCTGCCGGTTCAAGTCCTAGCTGCTCCACTTACAATTCAGCTCCCTGCTAATCGCCTGTGAAAGCAGCAGAAATGGCCTGAGTACTTGGGACATCATCTGTTGTCTTTCCCAGGCACATTAACAGGGCACTGGATTGGAAGCAGAGCAGCTGTGACTTGAATCAAAGGATGCCCCAGTGTTACAAGTGGTGGCTTAACTCACTGTGCTAAATGCTTGCCCCTAGGCCTCTATCTTTTCTAAGAGGCAGCGTATTTTTTTTTAAGATTTATTTTCATTTATTTGAAAGGTACAGTTACACAGAGAGAGAGGGAGAGACAGAGAGAGACTTTCCATTCACTGGTTTATTCCTCCAAATGGCCACAACGGCCAGGGCTGGGCCAGGCTGAGCCAGCAGCCTAGACCCCCATTTGGATCTCCCACATGGGTAGGGGGGCCCAAACACTTAGGCTGTCCTCTGCGGCCTTTCTCAGGAGCATCAGCAGGGAGCAGGATCGGAAGTGGAACAGTGGGGATTTGAACCGGCGCTCACATGGGATGCTGGCCTCACAGGTGGCAGCTCTCCAATGTGGGAGAAGCACCACCTTCAGGCCAGGCTTTGACATGTGCTGACTGCCTGGATGCCTCTACCCACTCATCGAGCTTAAAGGTCAGAGTTCAGACGTCTTCAGTGAGCCTCCCCCTTCTCATTCCCTTTTATTCCGACCCATTAGTTCACTCCTGAAAAGCCTCCTATGGCAGTGAGGAGCTGATGCCAGGAGCCAAGAACTCAGTGCAGGTCTCCAGAAAGGCAGGAACCCAATTACTGAGCCACCACCCTGCCTCCCTTGGGGTGTCTGCATTAGCAGGAGCCTGGACACGGGGGGGGGTGGGGGTGTCTTAATGCCTGTCCTTCCCCCACCTTATTTTCTATTAAGCATTTACTTGTTTCTATTTTGCATTCATTCATTAAACATATGTGAGTATTTACTGTGTGTCCGCAGTGTTTGAGGCGCAGGGTCTACAACAAATCCCTGCATTTGTGGAGCTTAACCCCTAGTGGGAGACACAGTCATCCAGCAGAGTCAGAATGGAGCACACACAGGACGAGAGTCAAATGCTAAAGAGAAAAGTAACTAGAGAAAAGGGACAAGATGTGTATTGCTGTGGACCTATTCACGGCGCTTGTCTGCGTTGTCTGGATCTTGCACTAAACTGTGATCCACCTCAGACACGTTTTTGTCTACCAACACCAACCGATGATGCACAGAGCCCGAGACACAGTGGGCAAAGGAACAGCTCCAAAGCACGGCCTTGCTTTCAGGAGGCGCAAAAGGAAATCCCCAGGAGAAGGGGGGACAGTAACTCGCTTTCTGCGGGAGAGCGTGCAGGTGGAGCAGTCAGCCTGAGGCGGAGCTAGTGTGGCCACCCTGGGACTCGGGGCAAGCACTCCGGAAAGTGCCCGCAGCAGTGAGACGTGGGGGGAGGGTGAAGGAGACGCCTGCCGAGGCCCCTCCCAGCGGGCGCTGGACACCTGCGCCGGTTTAGGCTTTTCCACCCTTACTTTTACAGCGAGGGACACTGGGGCTCAGACAGCGCCCTGTGCAGCTGTTCAGACAGATCAAGGATGTTCTAAATCCAGGTTTCAAGTCCTGCCGCTCTTCTCCACGACCCGCCCCAGCCCCTACTGCGACCACTCACCTACACTCCAGAGCTCCCCTCAAGTGAGGATCCCCTGAGTTCCGCCCCCTGGGAGGCGGGGAGCGCTTAGAGATTCTCACCTATAGGAAAGCGGAACGGCCTGCGGGGTGGTAACAAGAAGTGAACATCTTGACTGTGATTGGTTGAGGTTTCTGCCATTCATGAAATGAGCCTTGGCGTCCAGCCCTTTTTGTTCCCATCAGGCCCTTCGCGGGGAAATGGCGGCGCCCAGGTAGAGGTCTCGAGGAAAAGGGATTGGTATGGCGTTGGTGTCGTGGCCCGCTTGGCGGGCACTGGCTAGCTCTGGGCAGCTCGGCCTCGGAGGATGCGGGGCCCCTCGACGCGGGGCTTACGAGTGGGGCGTGCGTTCCACGCGGAAGCCCGAGCCCCCTCCTCTCGATAGAGTGTACGAGATTCCTGGACTGGAGCCCATTACTTACGCGGGGAAGATGCACTTCACGCCCGGCCTGGCGCGGCCCGTCTTCCCGCCCTGGGATCCCGGCTGGACTCACCCAAAGTTCTACCGCTCGCCCCCCATTCACGAGCAGCCGCTGTACAAGGACCAAGCCTGCTACATCTTCCACCAGCGTTGCCGGCTCCTTGAGGGTGAGACTAGGCCCGGCGAGGGGGGACCTCGTACCTCTGGCCAGCCCTGATCCCGACCAGACACGGGAACTCTCCGGGGCTCGGTCTCTTCGTGTGCGAAGAGGGACCATTGCCGTCTTCTGAGAGTTGTCAGGATTAAGAGGAACGTGAATTGCTGTGCTTGTGTGAGGGAGTTCAAACGCCAAAGTGAAAAGAGCTGGTGTCTAGGCCGAGCCCTGCCTCCAGCTCTCTGATCTGGGGCACATGGTGGACTTTCCTGAGCCCCCATTTCCTGTGAATTGGATGGTTTCGATGAAACAGTCCGTATTGACCCTTCCAGATCTGACATCCTGGAGATTACCCGCACATTTAAGACATTGATGGAGGGAGATTACGGCGGGAAAGAGGCAGCTGAGATAGTGTTTTATCTCCAGGCCTGATTGGTAGTTGCAACCAGGGAGGAACTGATTAGCCCACAGAAGTGCTGTGTTAATAGTGACACCAACACTGCGACTCTTGGTTTTCTAGGTCAGGTCCTTTGTCAGAAGTCAGAGCTAAGATGTTTTCAAGGACAGGACGGGGTTGGGAAATATTCTAGCCTGCCGGTTTCACTGAGAACAGATCACAGGTCTGGCTACAGGGGTATCAGAAATAATTTTCCTAAGCCCAGGGGTGGGGGCTTATTTACTGAGAGCCCCCTTTCCCATTCTGTCTTCCTTTCCCACCAAAATCAGGGCGGGTTTAGGGAGATCCTGGAAACAAAGCGGTCAAGCTGTGTGGCAGCTGTGTTTTTGAAGGGGTGATTAGGAGAGCGAGAGACCTGGCAGGCTTTGGAGACTCAATCCTGCCTTTGAAAAACTTAGTTGAGCAACCTCTTAAGCTGCTCATTCCTGTTCCTGGAAGCTGATTTTCTAGCCTTTGAACACTTGCAGTGTCCTCACGGGGTGCTGTGAAAGATCTTCCAAGACTTGACACCCTTGTGTGACCCGGTAATGGAACACCAAGTGGCTGGATGCATTATTTTAGAAGTTAAGGTGACATTCGCTTGACTAGACTGAAAATGTACCCTGTCTCCTGCATTTGACAGCTCGCAGAGCGGTTCTGTAAAGTCTGCAGTAAAACTGCAAGGTGCAGTGCTAGAGAGGGCGACTGGGGCATTGGTGGGGGATTGTGGATTTGAGGGTACACAGACTTGGGCTACCTTCCCAGCCCCTCTGCTTCCAAAGAATGTGACTTTGAGCAAACTCCTCTGTCTCAGAGTACCATCCTCCATTCCATAACACACTTGTAAGTAAAGCTAGCATGGGGTTCAGTACACAGCAGCTCTAATTATTATGTATTTATATGTGAAATAGGGAACCATAACGTTTTAATATTTTGTCCATTTTCAAGTCTAAAGGGTGGCACTGTGAAGACTAGAACTCAGCTTACCTGACTCTGAAGTTGTTTCTCCTGAACCGCATAACCCAGAAGTTGCATTTCTGAACATTTGTTTCTATTGTGATGTCTTAAATTGAGGTCTCTTCGTTCACTGCCATTCACTATTTTTTTTAAAGATTTTTTTAAAATTTATTTTTATTTATTTGAGAGGTAGAGTTACAGACAGAGAAAGGGAGAGACAGAGAGAAAGGTCTTTCTTCTGTTGATTCACTTCCCAGATGGCTGCAATGGCTGGAGCTGCGCTGATCCAAAGCCAGGAGCTAGGAGCCTCTTCCGGGTCTCCCATGTGGATGCAGGGGCCCAAGGGCTTGGGCCATCCTCCACTGCTTTCCCAGGCCATTAGCAGAGAGCTGGATTGGAAGAGGAGCAGCCGGGATTAGAACTGGCACCCATATGGGATGCTGGTGCCGCAGAAAGAGGATTAACCTACTGTGCTACGGCACCGACCCCTGCTGCCATTTATTATTATAAGAGATTTCATCCCAGACATAGCTTTTCAAATGAAGATATGTCCCTGCGTTAGTGTGGTATTTTTCCAGCTGGGATAGGTGCCTGCCAAGCAAAGCTGTCACCAGCCGTATGTCAACTGTGAGCATGACCATTGGAAAGAATCTACTGTTGACTTTCAGCTGAATGTGGAGGACTGCTATGTTTACTTGGTCTAGAGCCTAGGTATCTAGGTCTGTGCCTATTCCTCCCTTAAGGAAGCCAGATTTGGGGAAAGTGAATGTAGGGAGGTTTTCTGGGGCACCATAGCCCATCCCATGGGCTTTGGGCTAACCTTAACGTTTAGAGACTCAGTCATTCTAAATGGATTTTATTTTAGTTTATATACTATCTTTTCCTAGGAAATAGTTTGGGTAGCTTACACAAATTTTACAGTGCAACCAGATTAAAGTAGATAGTAATAAAACAGTGAGATGAACACAAGAATTCATTCTGTGGGGTTCTTGCTAAAGGTGAATCCCAAACATGGCAGTAAGTGTGTTAGTAGTCAGCACATGGTGCAGAGCCAGAATCAGCTGACTAGGTCAGTTGCCTGATTTTTTAAAAAGTTTATTTACAGAGCCTGTGCTGTGGCGTAGTAGGTTAAGCCTCTGCCTGCGGTGCTGGCATCCCATATGGGATTTGAGTCCTGGCTGCTCTACTTCTGATCCAGCTACCTGCAAATGGCCTGAGAAACCAGGGGAAGATGGCCCAAGTGCTTGGGCCCCTGCACTCATGTGAAACCAACAGCCCGTGTTCACTCCCCAGATGGCCGCAACAGCCAGGACAGGGCCGGGCTGGAGCCAGGAGCTTCTTTAGTTGTCCCACATGGATGCAGGGGGCCAACCACTTGGGCTGTCCTCTGCTGCTTTCCTAGATGAATTAGCAGAGAGCTGGATTGGGAGTAGAGCAGCTGGGACGCGACCCAGTGCCCATATGGGATGCTGTCGTCACAGGCAACAATTCTACCCACTGTGCCACAATGCTGGCCCCCATGTTTTTGTAAATGAAGTTTTATTGAAACAGAACTGTGCTCACTTGTTAATTATTGACAGTGACTGCTTTTATGCCATAAAGGCTAAGTTGACTAATTGTGACAAGACTGTACAGCCCACAAACTGAACATATTTACTATCTGGCCCTTTAAGAAAATGGTTGTTGACCCCTGTTGTAAAGAAAAAAAAAAACATTTTCAGTTATGCCGTTCACTGTGTTCATGGGCAGAACTATTATTGCCAAGAAAAGTTCAACTTTTTTGTGCCAAGGCCAGAGAGAGGTTCTGAAGGTCTCAGAGCGCCCCATGTAATAAGTGGACTGACAGCCCTCGTATGACCCTCTTGCCAAATATGGCTGTATGTATGTTTCACAGGGTTGCTTCATACAAAAATGTTTGCTTCATACAAAAATTGGTGAAATAGCTCATCATAGAATCAGGGTTAAATGAGATGTGAAAAATTATTCAAGTGGTCTCAGATTCAGGGCTCATTAGGGTATTCATGGAGAACCACAGTTTATACCCATTATTTCCAAAAGCTACTTTCCCTTGATAAGGCAGTGTGACCACTACCACTAAGTGTACACTAAGTGTACTCCCAGTGTATTTGGTAGGCATGAGCTTCTCCAGTTGGGGTTAGGGTATGAATTAATAGAAGGGATCTTGAGTGGGTATTTGGCATTCATTTATCTAGTCCCATAGCTTCAGGTCCATCCAGTGCCTGTGGAATTCGGTCATGTGATCTCAGCTGTCTTAGCTACTTATTTGATTTCTTCCTAGGACAGGTGCTTTGTACCTCACTCAGCTATAACCACCCTGCAGTAGATGGTCATTCCTGAAGTTGAACTGAAATCAGACTGTCCTAGCTTCCACTCTCATTTTTGGTTCTGCCCCATCACATGACCCAGAACAAATCTAGTATCTCTCTTTTTCTCTGTTTTTAAAGATTTATGTATTTGAAAGGTAGAGTGATAGAGAAAGGAGAGGGAGAGATCTTCCATCTGCTGATTCACTCCCCAGATGGCCACAGTGGCCTGGGCTGAGATTTATTTATGTATTTGAAAGGCAGAGTTACAGGCCGGCGCCGCGGCTCACTAGGCTAATCCTCCGCCTTGCGGCGCCGGCACACTGGGTTCTAGTCCCGGTCAGGGCGCCGAATTCTGTCCCGGTTGCCCCTCTTCCAGGCCAGCTCTCTGCTGTGGCTCTCTGCTGTGGCCAGGGAGTGCAGTGGAGGATGGCCCAAGTGCTTGGGCCCTGCACCCCATGGGAGACCAGGAGAAGCACCTGGCTCCTGCCATTGATCGGATCAGCGTGGTGCGCCGGCCGTGAACCAACGGCAAAGGAAGACCTTTCTCTCTGTCTCTCTCTCTCTGTCCACTCTGCCTGTCAAAAAATAAAATAAAAAGAAGAAAGGAGAAACTCTTTAAAAAAAAAAAAAGAAAGAAAGAAAGGCAGAGTTACAGAGAGGCAGAGAGAGATTGATCTTCCATCTGATGGGTCACTCCCCAAATGGCCACAACAGCTGGAGCTGAGTCAATCCAAAGCCAGGAGCCAGCAGCTTCCTCTGGGTCCCC